TGTGTGTGTGTGTGTGTGTGTGTGTGTGTGTGTGTGTGTGTGTGTGTGTGTGTGTGTGTGTGTGTGTGTGTGTGTGTGTGGTGTGTATGCGTGCGTGCGTGCGTGCGTGCGTGTGTTTGCGAGCTGCATTCATTTGTTTGTCACGGTTGCACAATGTCAGTCAGCGATTTCCTCAAGGATCTGCATGCTATGATGGCAAAGGGAGGGGGCACAGAAAAGCATCGCAATAAACGTAACATTCATTTTGAAAGTCAACAGATGTGTGCTTAATTTTTCGACTTATATGACTACTTCTCCATATTGGCTATTAAGAACTTCAAATGGTGTTTGAATGTATGACCTCACAAGTGGTCAAGTCAAGCCACTGGTGTACTTTCTGTTTATTTATTAAACGTAAAAAAACTACAGGTCATAAACTTAATCATGCACTAGCTGCACCGGTAAAAACTGATGCCTCGACACACAGATTGGCTAACCTGAGTTAAAACAAAACAACCACACTCATTTGCTGATGTACATGTCACTCACCAGGCTAGGTTCCGCCTTTTAAAGCCAAGCACATTGAAAACTGAGTGAACTACTGTGCAAAAAAAGGAAAGAAAATGCCTCGGTGCCACGTACCTAATTTTGTATCGGTATTTCTGTTTACTAATACAAACTTAATTCTATAAGATAGCTTGATTAATTTATGGGATAAAGTAGTTCAAGTCATTGATCCTAAAAATATTCAATAGCTGCAGCTCAAAATGCCATATATGTACAGCTGACACAGTTATTACTGCTTCGACTTTACGCTCTGTTGTGGAGAGACAAGATCAGCCTTTTCTCTTCCAAATTGTTCTGAATTGAGACAAAATAAGGACATTTTTCTTGAGCCTTAAAATTATACAGTACAGTGTGTAATGTAAATGAATGCAACACCACTGCTCTCATTAAGTCGCTTGGTGTAAGGTCTAGATTACAACGATGTTAGTGAGTAGGAATGGGTTTTCGGCTGTTCATCAATACTCTGTGCTTACGTTTCTAACCTTCAGTAAACTGAGATCCCATGTCTGCTCGGTCAACAAAAATCCATCAAGGTTTTACAAATTCCCCATCTTACTCGTTAGTAATCCCCATCTGTGCTCCAAGAGACGGAAGGCTTTAACAACGGGTTTGCACTCCATTTCCAGCAACCGCACCATCAGACGCAAATATACCGTAATGCACGATCATGTAAATTAAGAAAATGTTCCTCCCTATGGCAAAAGAAGTAAATCTAAAATAAAGCAGAAATTAGAGCCAGGCGGTCTTTGCGGCGAAATGCTCTGATGCCCTTTACAGTAAATTCCTCAAGACATTTGGAATTATAACAGTTTTAACACTCTGTAATGCGGTTCAATTATAGAAACCCCTCGGAGGGCGCTGTTTCGGAACAGAGTGATGGACTAATCCTTTTTAGTACATTTGAAAACCTATATTATGTACATACTGGCACTTTATTGCTTATGAACACATCAACCATGAAAATAAATCAATAGCTCCCACAGTAAATGTTTCCCCCCTCCCCTGGTCACAAGTCACACCCAGCAAATGATTTTATCCCCACAACCAACCTTCTCTTACACAGATGGTAGCCTTAATAACATGTGTACATAATTCTGATTAACTCATCCTCACATGCAAATGAGTGGTGGTAAAGAATGTAGTGCGAGGTCATGAATATTCACAAGTCGAATATTCACAAGTCATCCTTCTGTTCCCACTAATGACAGAGCAGGAGCTTTTGCCGTCATCCAACTGGCTGCCATTCAGTCTTTGCTGATGCTGTTCTGTTATATTTCCTGTGAACAATGGTCTTAGTGGTGTAAATGCATACAGTATGTGTCACTGCATTCACACTGTGGGAATGCCTTTCGGAAACAAATAAAGTACACATAAAAGGTTAGAATTCCGTTTTGGCACCGGGTCGATAGCCCCATTCTATGACTGCACCCAAGCATTTTGTTGACAGGGACTCTCCATACTTTGCCTTCTCGCCACAGGCACAGTACATATGACATTATAAATATAGTTAAGGAATATTGTAAAACCAAATATAATGTGTTGAAGTTTAAGTATGTCTCCTTGAAATAATACATCTCTGTCAATGTCATACAGTTTTCAGGCTATCTCTTTGTTTTCGTTTTTAAAAGTTCACCAAACTTGTATAACCCACGCCACTTTATAGATGGTCTGCTGGTGACAACTTTTCTTACGTTTAAACTGCCACACGACTTTATGCCCAGATCCCCTTGGTAATACACTTTTTATTTTCCTCCTCCCTATTTTTTTTCCCATTTATGTGACCTGCTCAGATTTGGAAAGAAAAAAGAGGACAAGAAGGAGGCCAAGGCAGCTTTGCCGCGTCAGAAGTCAGACATTCTGACTGACCTGGACTTTGAAAGGATGAAAGAAGAGCGTGAGAGGTGGGAATAGTTTATTTTTCTCATCATTATTTACTGTTGGATACAAGAACCAAAAAAAAAAAAACCCTCAAGGCTTCTGCTGTAAACACTTTAATTCACCATCACTAATCAAACATTGATTTTTGTTTCCTTACTATTCTATGCTTGTCACATCTGAGCCTCGGCCAATAGAAGTCCGAATCATAATTGTCCTAATTTTTACATAGTTGGCTGGCCCATAATCACAGTTTTTCAAACATGCTAAAATACAATGTGGGCTGTTACGCTTCCTAAATTTTTCCGTTTTGTTCGTTATTCTGTTGTTTCCACTATTCCGAATGTCTTGACAAAAGCTGTTCTTCCCATTTGTCAGAAATGAGGCAGGACATTCTGAGCTGCATGAGAACCGCTCCAAAGACCAACAAGTTGCAGGTGGCGGACCCATATATGAACATATCGAGGATGATGACACAGATCCCAATTATGCTCAAATACAGTCTTTTAAGGACCGTAATATGGTTTCACCACCACAGCCACTGCTCCAGTCCTCGCCACACAATACAGTCCAGCATGGTCATCTCAGGACCCCTTCTCCCCAGGGCCCATTAACCATTTCTGGGCAAGCCAATCGGAGTTATGACCCAGGGGCAATACCTGAAGACGAATTTGATAGGCTTTATGCAAAAGTCAACAAACCTAAAGGAACTGGGACTGCCTCGGCTCCTGTCTCCGCAACTTCCAGCGACAGGTAAGGACTCAGATGAGTGTGTTTTACGGGCTGTAAAAAAAAAATCAACCTACTTGGGGCTTTTGCTTGACATCACATCATTGAGATGATTTCTGACTAGTTCAATTGGTTCACATCTAAGTTTCATGATTGGGTTCACACCTGCACACCTATACAAAATGCACAGAAAGGTAAATGAAATAGAGTTCAATTAAAATGGTACAAAAGGTGAAAGAATGAAAGAAACTATTAGGATAAAAGTATCAACTCATTCACTGCAAAGCATTTTCAAAGCAGTTCCTCATATTGACGGTCCATTTTAGATTATCTGTCAAGGCCCGCAGAATATTCTGTTCTGTGACTTTTTACTCGATGAACGATGTCATTTTTTCCCTCATTATAATTAGCACACTTTCTACTAACTATCATGTCACCTACTTACTGTTTGTACCATACATTTATTTATCTGTCCGAGTGTCAAGTACCTAAGCTTGTCCGACTTCCAACATGCTGGCATCTCTCGACCTCTTAATCTACTTGACAAGACAAAATCCACCCCCTAATCTTGATCTTCTACTCAAAAACTGTGGTAACCATCAAATCCAAAGCGATGACACTCTGCCATGTACAAAGATCTGTTCGGCATTACAGCCCTTTACAAATTTGAATTTCACAGACAAGCTGGGTGAGACCCTCTTCCACACCTTCCTATTAAAAAACGTACTTAACCAATATATAGTCATGGGTGGGTTGGACTAGCTGATGACGACAGTGCATGAGTTAAAGGTATTAAATGGTAACATCATGTTGTTTTTTTGCTGTGACACAAAACTTTTGGAAAATGGTCAAAATGATTGTGTTTTAACCAACTGTCATAGAATAGCAATGTTTTTAGGGAAAGAGCAGGTTGGGACAAAAGAAATAAAGACTTTGTGCAGGACTGAACAATGAGTAAAACACGACGATTAGCACTTTTGCAAACCTTATAACAAATGCCCATCTGACCACCTGGCTGCTGTTGTTGTGAGGTTGGGTTGAGGACTGTTGACACGGCCCTCGATTCTTTGTGCGCCCTTAACCGGAAGGGCGTCTCAGATGAACGCCGCTCTGTGGGGGTGAGCATTGTCATCTTGAAGGATGGAGTTTGGTCCCAGACTATGGAGATATAGGATTGCCATTGGATGTACAATCTCATCTCAATATCGTTCTCTGCTCTGTGCATTGAAATTGCTTTCCTCAATGACAAGCCTCGTTTTTGAAGTCATGGAAATGTCATCCCCCACCAGCACACTCCAGTCAGCACCTGGGGGAGGGTTTCCTGAAAACTCAAAATAAGACTCTGTAGCAACAGCAGAAATTGCTTGTAATGTGGATATAAGAAGTCTACACACACCTGTTCAAATGCCAGGTTTTTGCGATATGCTATTAAAAAATGAGACCAAATAAACCATTTCAATTTTTTTTTTACACCATGTACAATTCATTTGAAAAAAGATGAAGGGGAAGTTAAAAATAAGCTTTTGAAATAGTGTGGTTGCAAAGGTGTCTACCACTTAGAGACTTTATGTCATCCCAGTGCTTTTCGAGGGCAGTTATTTAAAACAAACTACAGTAATATGTTGTTTTGTTTTCTCCCAACTGCTCCAAAATGTATTTTTGCAAAGGGCACAGAGTTTAATGCTTGCTCATTTGGTAAACCTATTCAACACAGAATTACAAATATATTGTCGAAAAATAAACACCTTGAAATGCACTTGATTTGAGACTCCAGCAGGCAAAAGGGAAGTAAGAAGGAGGCTAGAATGTGAGTGAATTCAACAAGCAATGCATGTTGCTCTTAAGAAATTGGAGGGTGCGATTTTTATTTTTTTTTCCCCTTCAGCCCACATACACACCTTTTTCTTGTGCACGTACACTGTCAGGTGAAGCTATGTCAGACACCACCAATTTTCTGAAGTGACTGCAAAGCCTTGGTTTAGTGCTCCCGACAGTCTTGAGTGGCTGCCCCTCCTACCTCCACCCAACTACTACCACCACCACCACCACCACCACCACCAAACCATCCCAAGTGCACTCAGGTTACCATAACAACAACCACCTCTGGCCCTTAACCAATTAGAATGCAATCACTCTGGAGACGACGGAGTAGAGTCAGCTTGAGAGACAGAGTTATTATTGCACATGAGCAAGAAAGATCAATAGCAAATTATTCTCAAGAACTGTAAGACGCAATAAAAATGAAATAAAAACCATCTGTGGATCTAGCAATTTTTTAGTTTGGCCTCTCACTATATGAAAGTAAAACTGCCAACTTGTAGCTTGACCACCATTAACATAAACATTGAATGCCAACACTCATTTAAGACCTGACTTTCTGATTGAAAATAAGGCGGATAAAATTGGCCTTGGTTGACCCTACATGTTACATCTTCTTTATACTCATGCGTGCAGTGACCGCGCAGATGTCACTGTCAATGTTGCGTGCGGTTTGCCTTTGTACTTGCGCGCAACCCACTTGCGTTGTTTCGAAAATATGTTGCACTTTCACTCCAAGTCGGAGGGTGTCGCTACGGCTGAGGCTGGCTCAGACACCACACGGCAGAGTTTCCTCTGCATGTGTAGACACACACACACACACACACACACACACACACACACACACACACACACACACACACACACACACACACACACACACACAGGTAAAACCGCCAAGCTACCAATCCTTCACAGCAACAGCAGCGAGCTGCATGGTACAGATCCTCTCTTCCATGATGACAAATAAATTACCCTTAAATAGAGCCGGGGAAAACTGGTTACGTCATCGGCAGCGTGTGACGAAATGGACCAATCACAAGAGAGAATGTGCGTTGCATTCTATGCACAGCAACAATTTGATGGAGGGTGGCCGTTGCCACCTGCGCGTATGCGGGAGTATAAAGAGGCCTGTAGTCTTAGAATTTACACAGTTGGGGTAAGTTTTCGAAAATGAATGGATGCCTTGAAATTTAGGTAAAAAGTGGGGCTGGCATGCTGAGGAAATGTTTCCTGAGTGAGGTAGAAGAAAAATAATGTGATTTGTTTCCAATTAAAAATATAGTAAGAAATTACAAACTCTTGCTAATCACAACCCAGTGGGATTCATTGGCTTTATTGCATATTAGAATGCATGAGAAAATCCAACTCGATTTTTTTGTTGAAAAATGTGAGCGGTAAGGAGGTTCAAGGACCATGCAGAGCATGAGAAAGAAGAGGGATTTGAAGTGTCTCGAAAGTAAAAGGAGGCCAAACGGAAGGTCAAGTAGGATTAGGAATAAAGAGAAGGGAAGTTAAAAGAAAAGAAAACAGGGAGCGGGGGCGAAACAGAAAATAGTTATGGAGAATAAAGAGATAGAATGAGTGTTTGGTGCTAAAGGAACAAATTAGGGAGAGAAAGTGCTGGAGAAAAGGGGGATTTAGTTCTAAAAGCATGAAAAAGCCACTGAAGACTGACAGTAGATAAGGGCTTGAGAATAAGACGGAAAAGATTGAACAGTGAGTGAGAAAGATTTTGAGGAAATGGAAGGGACAGTGCATGTTTGGAACTTTGAAATGAATTAAAAAAAAATGTGTGGTTTTAAAGGAGACAGGAATGGACCCAAATAAAGAAACAGTAGCAATCAAGGAGGGCTACTTTGAGGAAGAGATATTGGGATCATTGAGTATTGGGGCCTAAAAAGGGCAAACTAGAGTGGGAAGAGAGATGTCAAAGTAGAGAAAAAATAGGGGTTGAACTAAATTGAGATGCTGGGTGCAGAGAATGTACAGACGAATAAAAGAGAGGAATGAGAAGAGGTGGGGGAGTCAGCGGTGGGGAGTTGTTGTAAAACGGGCCTGCATGTGTGTTTTCCTGGACTCAAAGTGAATGATTCAGCCTGGCTAATAAGGAAAGCTCTCAAGAGGCACTCGGCTGCCATCCTTTCCTCCCCCTTGCTCGCTTTCCTTCAATGAAGCCTTTCTCGGCCTCTCTTCACCCTGTTGCACTCTCTTCCTCTCATTTATGATTTCCCCCTCTATTTGCACAAGTAGTCTGCAATGAAAAATACATTTCATGCAAAGGGCATCTGCCTGCAATTGAACGTGGGGGTTTTACATTGTAAAAGCACACACAGGCAGGGACTAGGTACTTGGTGGTCTTGTAGAAGGACACGCCATTCATTTTAAAGGGCCACGGACGCACTCATGGACAAACACATAAGACCGACCACATTTAAGCTTTAACATCGGCGGGATAGGGGCTTGATGCATAAGAAATGAACCACTGTGGAGATTAAAACATTGTATTTGTGTTGATAGTCATAATTCTTTGACCTTGAGTCCCCTACATGCAACTCCCTGTAAATATTTTCCTTCTTTTCTCATGTTCTTTTCTTATTATTTTGTTCTGCAAAAAGCAAAATAATCAAAAATAAAAAGCTGATGGAAAAGTAGAATACTTGGTGATAAACAACTCATCCCTTTGATCCTCTGGACTGAGCAGGTGCTGATGTCTTATTTGATGTCATGCGTGATAATTGGTTTTAACAACAAAGATCTGTGCAAAATTAGAGGCATCATCAAGGGCATCATTCGATCCCCGCAGAACATTTGGGACATGAGTTTGTTCGGCCAGCAACAAGCAAAGCCAAATTGGCTGGGAAGGAAGAAGAGACCAGAAAGGTCAGCTCCAAAAATGTATTTTGTAATGATCACTTCCTTTTTAGCAGAATTATTGCTCTCAGAGCACAGCACTTGCTGGCTGTAGTCTTTAGCCGTGTCCTAAATTGGATTAAATGTTATGGAATGTAAAAATGGGCCTTTATCTGACTCTTACGTTATGATAACCAGGAGCAAAAAATAGTGCTGTGCCACTGTATTGCAGTTACAGCTCTAAAATGCATTATTTCAAATGTTTATCGAAATAACTTTGAATAAAGGTTAATTCAAATAGAACAGCAGAAAAAGTGGTATCAATTGAGGAGCTAATTCTCTGGTCTTTTTAGCTTGTGAAGGTAACATCAGAATGGAAATGAACTGATGATGTAACGTCCAAAGTTTGAATCGGGACAATGGAACTTTTTTTTTTGTTTGATGAATTTTTTGTTCTGCCATGTTTATCTAAAATGTTGAAAAATGATGTTGGCAATTACGCTTTTTGGTGAGTGATGTAATAATTTGGATGTAGTTTGTTGGTGTCGACTCGACACCAGTCCCCCACCCTGGACTGGTTGCCAGTCGATGTGCCAGGGCACATCACAAAAAAACATCCTCAACTCTACTGAGAACAAGCGGTAAATTTTATCCACACACTGGCATTGGTATTGAGCAAATTAGCCTGCTGCCGAGTCAAAGGGGAAAGTCCACAATGAGGGTTTGATGCCAGCTACTCTACCACCTGCAGCACCTCATGCACATGCAGAAGACATGGCTACATAATCTGTTGACTGAGACACCCAGAACGCTATGAAGGCAGGATGCCGGCCTTTTCTTCCCCAAAGTGTAGCATGCGCAGGCATTACGACAGCCAGTCCGATTGATGTCATGGCAGTCGACAGTAGCGTAATTACTCTCGGTGCTTATGGTGCTGCAAGAGGAGCCGTGTCATATCCTGTCAGCTGCACTTTAAAAACACGTGTCGCTTCCTGTTAGCCTGAAGAGCTAAGTGAGCCTTGGCACAACCTGCGCGAGTAGAAGTACCAACCTCATAACACAATCACACTGTACGAGTGTGTAGTTGTCTCTTACACGTATTTCCTTTCTCCAATGCCTTTCCGTTCTGACCCACCTGCCATCGTTGGTCATCTTTTGTTGTCAAACTTCATTAGTGAAGATGTCAGATAATTAGTGCAAAACACAAGCGAGGGAGATTAGGGAGACAAAAATGATGAAGGCCGAGACGAGGGAGGGAGATGAGGCGGAGCCAGGGCAGAGGCGATGGAGAGAAGCAGATGATAAAAAGATTAAGGGTGGGAGGTATAGAGAGATGGATTGTATAAAAATTATAGATGATAAATGATTGACTCATTTACTTATTCACAATTTACCACATGGCTTAGGGCACCTATGTATGTATGTTGTGTGTGTTCATCTACCAGCCCGAGAGTGCAGCTGAGTGACACATAGATACAAGATACAGGGAGGGACAGATAACACATTGATCGGCCTTCGTTGTTCTCGTCTAGTTCGTTCTTTTACGACACAGAGCATAATGATCTTCTACTACTTGGCATCAGGGACAAATGCAGACTACAACTCCCTCTTGTCAAGGCGTGTGTGTGTGTGTGTGTGTGTGTGTGTGTGTGTGTGTGTGTGTGTGTGTGTGTGTGTGTGTGTGTGTGTGTGTGTGTATTTTATATATGTACATGTATGTATCGATGGATGGATGCATATATTTACATATACACACTCATTTGTTTCATAATACGTACAATATTCGGAACTATCAAAACATCTGATATGTTTCATGCTAAACATGAAAGTCATGAAGGGTGATTGTATTATCCCTTCTACCGTATTTTCCGCACTATAAGGCACACCTAAATGTTCTCAAAAGGCGACAGTGCGCCTTATAATCCGATGCGCCTTATATATGGATCAATATTTCGATTTCTTGGACGTGGTTTTTTTAAATGTTCTGTCAAGTGCTTTTTTACAGCTGCAGTGGTTGTGAAAGCGGCATATAAATAAGGTTGTGTTGAATTGTATGCCCTTTAGTGTAGCTGCATCTAGTGAATGCATAATGCAACCTCAGCCACTATTGTAGCACTATTGTAAAAACTTTTTTTTTTGGGGTTGTTTTTTTATTTTTTTTCATTTTGGTGCACCAGACATTAGATTTTAAATAAATAATGATGTCTGATGTGTTTAAATCGTTTAATGATTTGGGATTTGTCAGTTCTCTTGGCCCAACATTAATATGCATCATCATTTATGATTTTCAATTTATCTAATCTGTTGCTATCCACACCACACCCCCACATTTTTTTAACCTTGAACAGATTTTGAATGTGCATCATTAGACGGCGTCTTCTTATCAACCATGTAAATATTTATAGCTCTTTATGACACATTTCTTATTTAAGACGATACTGTAGATCTATCATTCTTATAACATTACTAATGGAACAGATTACTTAAATATTCATTCCAGCGTTATTAACAACATGCCAAATTTTTGTGACTCATTTTAAACATTCATTGAATTTTTATTGGTGTGACCTAGCAAGCGCAAAGAATTTATCTCTTTCTGCAAGAGAGAGAAACATGTCATAGGGCTGCGGCGTTAATTTTAGCAATGCCCAGCCAACCTCAGAAATAGTTGATAAAATGTTATTTCAATATTTTTATATTTTTTTAATTTTTATAGGATAACATAAGAGCCAGCGCCATCTAGCTGTGCAGTCACTTTGGCCAATCATATTGGTGGTTGTTCACCACACTGTTGTTGTTTGTCCTTCTTTCCGTCTCTCTTCATCAGTAGCAATGGAAATGTCTCTGTGTTGTGGTTATTCACGCCAGTTTTGTGATTGTAGCATGCACCTGTCGGACTAGGTGGACTGTCTTCAATGTGGTCACTAGTGCATACCAAGCATTTCCCATTGCAATCTTTGTGTCCACAGGCTTCACAACACATTCTTTCGCTGCTTTAAAATCATATCGTTCTGGCCACTCAGTTCATGCAAGTACATTCAGTTCTTGGATCTTTCAAATCCTGCTCACTTACTGTCATTACTGGTGCTCCTCAAGGTTCTGTTCTGAGTACACTGCTACAAGCTACTGTATACATCAGTATGGCTCAAATTTCTTATCAATCTGTCTAAAATTCCGCAGCTCGAACCCCTTCGTTGAATTATATCACCCCTGATCTTTGGCAGTCAATCATATCCTTGAAAGATTTTGCGCCTCACTTTCAATGCCATTCTTAAGCGTCTTCTTGCACTCTAGGTGTTCCTTTTCCATCCACCTCACGGTTCCTTCCATCTGTTTATATATTTGTTCATTGTCATTATGTTTTGTTAACATTTTCAATGTTTGAATGCTGACAAGTGAGTAGAAAAACGCTCACAAATAACATGTATTGTGCCTATTGTTACAAGACTTTCCTGTGTGTTTGCAGCAACATGGATCGAATCCAGCTGCTAAAAAAAGAATACCAGCAGGCAAAGCGAGAGGGAATGGTGCCCGCGTATGAGGAACTGGACCCTCGACGTCTCGGGCATGATAAGGACAGGGTAAGGATCTTTACTTCAAGCAGACATAACAGTTTAAGCCTTGTGACGTTTGCTTAGCTTTTCAATGTTACTTCTTTCTATGAGATAAGATGTCAATGAGCGAGAGACTACAAAAGCCAGACCTGAAGCCTTCAATGTGATGTTTTTTTTTTCCAAACCCGAAACTCATCTATCAAAATTATTATTGCATTTTAGTCTTTATCATGGATCAAGTTGTTTGAATTTTCGTTGTAAGGTGCATTAAGACTGCAGTACTGATACTTTGCAGTGCAGTGGTATGTCATGGTAGGAATTGATTGATTTTTTTACAGCATTGTCCTTGATACTAAGTATGTCTAATAATGTGCAATAACACGCTGAATAAGTTATAGAATATACAGGATAGTTAGTGCCATAGAATAATCTCCCAGATAAGGCTACCTTGTCTTCCAGCTGCTCATGCTCAAATCAAGATCATTGTTGCATCCTCTCAGCTCCCCTTCTGTGGTTGACTCAAACAAGTCGCTGGAATAACAGTACATTATCAAAGTGCTAATGAGGAATCACCTCCCACATTGTTGTCAGGTGTCATCCAGCAATGACTTATTTTGCTTGCCAAATGTAAATATTTCTGTCTGTAAGACACCCACGGGCTTTCTTTCGATAGGATGGTTATTGCACCGTATCACTTACTCATTTCCATACTGATTTGATTTTCATTATCTTGCATTTTAAACAGTATACGTGACAGTATCACCACAGATGGACAAACCACTCACACTTAAATTATAACGTGAATGCATGTGTGTTGTTGAGTGATTGTCCAGTATAACAGTTATTGAGATGAATTGAAGTGGTGAGAATTCTTGGCAAAATATATTATTCCTATACAGTGCTGGCAGGTAAGGTTAACTAAGAATGGAAATTTATTAAATCAAATCAATCTTGGCAAAATACAATATATTTCATGTTGCAAGAAAGTCCAATTGACCCATCGTCAAAGAGAGACTCCTTTTTGATACTAAATTATGAAAAACATTTTTTCTCCTTCTGCCATGTTAAAAATCTATTTTTTAGTTTTGGCTAAATTCTAAACTTGTCAACAAGATAGTTACGTACAAGGTTTCATTTTACAATGTAATCATACTTAGATCATTGAAATGTCACATCCGAGAATGCATTCGCACTGCTATGCCTGCCTTACTTTAATTTAGTTCTCAAAGTAATTTGGTTTGGTTACAGCGAGGGCAACCTTCCTCATGGAATCAATAGCCACACTTGACTCCAGAGTAGAAAATCTTGTTATTGTTTATAAATCAGGTAGGGAGACCAATTAAAAAGCCTCAGAGGTTGACATTCATTTTCACCTTTGAGAGATTACAAATGTATTTCAATTAACAACAGATCTACTTTTTCACACATTATGTCTTCTTTTTTGTTTCACCGGTATTCTTTGTTTGTTTTTTTAAACCCCCCCCCCCATGCCCCCACAGAACAGACAAACAACAGACAACATTGAAACAGTCCCCATGAATCGATCATCAATAAGGAAATAAATCAGAACATATCATAGAACTCTTCAGCTTTGCCCTTTATAATGTATGTTAGGGTTTCACACTTATTTTCTTTGGCTGTTTTGCCAGATTATTAGCTGATTGATCAATAGAGTTTATATGAAAAACAATTCCTGGCCATAAATGCATGAGTATGGCGGTGACATAGTATGTTTTCATGTACTGTGTAATGACATATTTATAATTGGCCGGCACGTTGCTCTCAATTCCGAACCTCAAATCAGCCCATGTCCATACCGTTATAAACCGAGGATTCTCTGTACACGGCATTAGACCAAGGATATTTGGCAGTGGCAACAGTCGGCTACAAGGTTAGCATACATAAATTAGGAGCTCTGCATACAGTGTGTGTTAGTTTACTTTTGCAAATTGAATGGAGCCATCAGTTTTCGAATCTCAGTGAATATAGGGAAAAAAAATAGTCCCTTGCCATTTTCCGTATAAAGGGGAAGGTTTGGCTAAAGGTTTGGCTACATCTGTTTTTTTCTTTCAATTTTTTTCTTTTTTCTTTTTTTTATCATACAAAAGCTTACAATTGGTACTTTTGGTACAGCTGCAGTCTAAATTGATTCTTACTGCCATCACAGGAGCAGCTCGGGGCTAAATGCTTTTTTTGGTGCTTTGAGTGTGAAGTGCTTATGCACCTTGCTTTCAACAGTTTTGAGACATACGCAAATACTTGTATTTAGTGGAGTTGAAGTAGAATGCACCGTGAGAGCTCTCTTGTGATTCGTATGTTAGTTTGATAGTCACTGCGCACAGACGTTGAGGCTTTTAGACAGGACCATTGAAAGTCAAAAACTTTTTTTTAAATAGTCATGTATGCATTTACATACACACATATACATATATATATATATATGTATATACATAGAGAGAGAGAGAGAGAGAGATTATATCACAAATGCTAACATGTTAATGGATTTGCTTGACCCTAATTCCAGGTCACTGCCTCTGTTAAAATGAGTGGGATGCATCAGGAAAAGCATCTTGTGTAAAAACTATGTTGAACATACGTACTGTGGGGACACGTAACGAGACGTGCCCCCACTCTAACGTGGAAAACATCACTGATGCAGTGTCAACTTTCCACCAAGAGAGGATGCTAATAGATATCGAAAAAGGTCATGTGTGATTTTGTTCGAGTACACTCGTGGACCTTGTGCACCTAGTGGACTTACTGTATATGGCCTGGAAAGTCTGTGTTGTTGACGTACATTGATGCTGGCAATGCCTCAGCGCAATAAATAACTAAATAAATCTTTCGACAGTTTTTTTTTTTGTGGTTGACGTTGTCCACTTTTTTTCCCCAGCCCGAACCTGTACATTACACATGTTAATATTGATGACAAATGTCTGTTTCATTGACGTATGCCTTTTGGGACACAGCACAATAGAAGATCAAGATGTGCTTTAGTCACTCATGTACTATTATAAGACAACCTTGTATTATATCCTGTTGATTAAGACGGAATTCCCAGTTCGAAATGTAGACTGTCTTGCTTGTTTGGGCGTGCTTCCAGATTTCATACAGATTTCCGTTTAGAATGAATGTGTGTGTTTCTGTGATTGTTTCTCTTCCCGTTCAAGGTTTCTGTCTTCTGAACGGTATCCAGTGTTCCTCTGCATCACTTCACTATTGTGTGATTCACAATTGGGGAAAATCCCAAGCCACAATTCCCATAAAATGCTTATTTTGATGACTAAAATCCTAGTATTCTCATTTCCTTCATGCTTCCAAGACCCTATAAATCTGCATCAATTGTTTCGAGATACTTTCAATATGTTTAAATAGAAGAACTGTTTCTACCACTGCAGCTTGCAGTTAACCATCAAGTTGTGCCCACATTCCGAAAAATGCAGTGCACTGATGCTACAATTGTAGGCTTTATAGACATGCCACATACCTTGAATAATACATATTTTATCAGACCTTTTATGGCCATTTGGAGGCAGGCAAAATTCTCTCTCCCTGCCCTCGGTTCTATACAAGTGCATAAGCACTCAACCCCTTTCTTTGCTACCTTCAATCTGCCCATGTGATCTCTGCTCTATCTTTGGTTGTTGTATGGCTGTGCATGGAAGGAACCCTTATACCTTTCATGGAAATAGATGGCAATAAACACTGTGGCTGAGTGTAGCTCGTTGTTACAGGCGAGGTTAAGAGATTTGTTTGTGCACTATTGTTTACCACAGTGGCTCAAGCATGATTTGCACTTAACAGCTTCAAAGGAACTATAAAGTGTACTTGGAATGAGATTTTCCATAGTTGTTCATGAAGTAGTTGATGGGTTTATGCATTAACCATCTGTTATTTAGTCAGTCACTCAGCCAAGGGGGAAGATTGAGCACAGTTAAATGTAGCACAATAAAATCAAGCACCATTTGAAGCAACCTCAAAAGTGAATATTTTACGTTGTGTTAATATTATATTCGCTACTGTCATGACAAAAAGACCTATTTTCCTATTTGCCAGAGGATTTGAATGTGCTACTTTTTGTTTGTTTCAACTGCATTGTCTAGGGGAGAAAAAAATGCCCGTTGAAGAGACATACTATTCCCTTACCGACTGAATAAAGAAAACAAGGAGCCCAGTTCACTGGGTTTGCTTTGAAATATAACCAGTGATACATATATTTGTGGCTAGTTTAATATCCGAAGCATATCAGTCTCTTAAATCAGACACATGCATAGATAGATTGGGAGCTGGTAAAAGCACCACAAAAGGGGAGTGTTCAGATTTAACTTGGATTACTTGAACACCGGATGAGTAGCAGCACTCTGAATGACCTGCAGTCAGATAGCCAAAGGAGGTAGCTGAGCCAGAAAAAAATGCGTTAGTCAATGTGAGAGAGTATAAGAATTATGCAGCTGGTATTAGGAAAGTGCATGAGGCTACTGTACAGAGATTTGGCAGTCGAGAGTTTGTGACTCAGGAATCACTTGAGGTTTTGAGGTTGGCTTGGGAAAAGTGACACTACTCAAGATGAGAAGTCTTCTCAAGAAAAAAATTGGCTTGATATGTAGTTATGCACCAAATTGTCTCCAGATTTTATTTATTTACCCCCCCTGCGGTCATGCGAGCGCTTTTTGTTTTTCGGCCTTGTGTGTGACAGATCGTGAGGATAAGCAAGGCTTGAAACAAACAAAAAAAAACTAGTTGACTGGCTTGTGTTTGTTTTCCTTTGGTCGATTTTTCTGTATAACCCTACTCAGTTAATGTCAGCTATGTTATGAATTTTCCAATGTCCTGAGATGTGCAAAGGTAACGGCTAAAAAGCTGACAAGAGTATGAAGAGACTTTGAAGGCAGTGGTAAAAACATGACACGATGGCAAAGTGACTGCTCTGAACGACGACGATCCGTAGTCATGATCTCTCATCGCCGAACTGTGAGAAGACAAACAGAAATAAAATGGCGACCGTTTCACTGAATGACCCGTCTTGG